ATGCCTTCAACTTATTTGGGCGACCGCCTTCGTCATGGAGAAGACATTACCCGTTCAAAAGATTCTACATGAAAATCGACGCACGACACTGCCATTTCTAATTTTTTCGAAGCGATAAGTTTCACGATTTCAATTACTCTCATATTTGATTTTATGAGGAGATATGCAATATTTACTAGCGCATAAAACGATTAAGAAATGTCAGCACGAATTTCTATCTACACACAAACTCAATAAAAAAGGATGATACAAAATGTACAGATAATTAATGTTAGTATTGCTTAATCCGGTAAGGACATGTATACACATACATGTGAGCACATTGTGTGACGAATGTCGGAATCTTTCGAAAGGATTGCAGCGGAATTTGGCGATTATGAGTTGGAACAACACAACTCTGAGCATTCAATAGTGATGGGAATGTTTCTATGAGATGAAATGGCGAGGAAGAGAATGAAGTAGAAAAAATACTTATATACAAATAAACTAGTATCCTGGAGCTGTGCGTGGTGGTGGACAATGAGAGCACGGTCCAGCTTGTCCACGTTTACCTGGTGCACCTTTCGGTCCTGGTGGTCCTGGTCGGCCAGGTACACCAGGAAGGCCATCGTCACCCTGTGGTCCAGGAGGTCCTAGGATAGATTATGAAATTATTTCTACAAAACCTCGTAACTGAAGAAATTTTACCGGGGATGCCGGGTGAACCAGGAGTTCCCTCTGCTCCAGGCGGCCCTGGTGGGCCTGGGGGTCCTGCAAATACAGTGTTGGAATTTTCAAATAAAGATGCAACACTTTCTACGAATTTTTCGAAAATATGCTCTGCGTACCAGGGATTCCAGGTTCTCCGGGTGGTCCTTCTTTCTCAATAACTATTCCGTCTGGTCCGCCTTCTCCTGGAGGTCCCGGTGGCCCAGGTGGTCCCTAAGTTTCATTTTTAGACACATAGGTAGTGATTTACCAGCTACTTACCGGCTCCCCAGGTGGTCCTGGTGGCCCCGGTGGACCTCTCGTTCCTCCGTCAGCATCAGTGCCAGGATTTCCTGGGAGCCCCGGCGCACCCTTTGGTCCAGGTTCGCCTTCTGGACCAGGTGGTCCGGGTGGACATT